CCATTCACTCTCCCCCCCCCCCCCAACACACCTCTGGACGTGCCAACCTACTTCATTTCCCTACAATAATATTTGTTTAGTCTTACTCTTCTTTAGTATTTGTGTATTGTAGTCATTTGGCTATTTAAACCCGTATTATAACTGATTGTAAACCTAGTGAGAGTGAAGTCTCTGAACTCTATTGTTCCTGTTTATTCTCAAGTATTTTACTCTTTTTTCACACAACCTCACACTCACAAACGCTCTCAGTCTCACTAAACTCTCCATAATTTCTCAAATTCTCATATATTCTTATTCTTGGGTATATATAATCTCTCTTACTTATTCTCTGTTTTCACTCACTTAAGCACTTTAGTCTCATCATCTTCACCTCATATATCATCTATTCTCACACCACGCCACCAGTAAAATTGGACCATGAAACGACTCATCGGAATTAGTTTAAAAAGGGACATGATTATCGGAGGGGCCAAAAATTAAGAGGTAAAATTTACCTCTCTAGAGAGAAAGGAGATAAAACAAGAGAGTTTGAGTCATCCATTTTGTTTTTGTTTTGTTAAACAACTCAAGTGAATTGAATGTTAATTACTTAGCGTTTGAAAAATGTTGAGAGGATGGTTTATAATTGGAAATGGCTTTAGAATATCAAGAAATCACTTGGACACGACGACAAATATATTAACTGTGTAATGATGTTTGGGCACCTAGAGACTTGTGTGTTTGTAAATATCTCTAAATAACAGATTTGTGGTAACCTATGAAATTAATGAGATACAAACGTCAAGTAAATAGTGGGAGAGGAAACTGATTATCGCCACAGTCGAATAAAGAAGGAACTTATCACTAGGCTCTGCTCTAGGGGGTGATGTAATTTTCAGAAGAATTGGTAAGGATAGTTTCGACTTTAGCCATAACACGTGCGGGATGATAACTAGTAAAAATCCATCACTCAGCCACACAAACAAATGCCAACAACGCTCCTCCGCCGACCCCTCACTCCCTCTCTCTCCCTCGTCTCCTCCTTCATCCTCCGTCGCTCAATGGCTTCGAAACCCATCTCCACCGATCCAATCACCCCATCAAACACCCGAATCGGTTGGATCGGAACGGGCGTCATGGGCCGGTCAATGTGCGGACACCTAATAAAAGCCGGATACTCGGTCACAGTCTTCAACCGCACAATCTCCAAAGCCGAGACTCTTCTCTCCATGGGCGCGAAGCTTGCCGACTCCCCAAACTCCCTCGCTTCCCAATCCGACGTCGTCTTCTCCATCGTCGGTTACCCTTCAGATGTCCGCCACGTCATCCTCGATCCACACTCCGGCGCTCTCTCCGGTCTCTCCCCAGGCGGCATCCTCGTCGACATGACAACCTCCGAGCCTTCTCTCGCCGAGGAGATATCCAAAGCAGCCTCCTCCGTTAACTGCTTCTCCGTCGACGCTCCTGTCTCCGGCGGAGATCTCGGCGCTAAAAACGGGAAGCTTTCGATATTCGCCGGAGGAGATGAAGCCACCGTGAGACGTCTCGACCCGTTGTTTTCGTTGATGGGCAAAGTCAACTTCATGGGAGGAAGCGGCAAAGGGCAGTTCGCGAAGCTGGCGAATCAGATCACCATCGCGTCGACCATGTTAGGGCTCGTGGAAGGGATTATCTACGCTCATAAGGCCGGGCTCGATGTTAGGAAGTTTCTAGAAGCCATAGCCACGGGAGCTGCGGGTTCCAAGTCGATTGATTTGTACGGAGAGAGGATTCTCAAGAGGGACTTTGACCCTGGGTTCTATGTGAACCATTTCGTTAAGGACTTGGGGATTTGTCTGAAGGAGTGTGAGAGGATGGGGTTGGCTTTGCCTGGGTTAGCTCTTGCGCAGCAGCTTTACTTGTCTCTCAAGGCACATGGTGAAGGTGGTCTTGGAACTCAAGCTCTTATCTTGGCTCTTGAGCGCCTCAACAATGTCTCTGTTCAACCACTTGTCACTTGATTGTCCTTGTGTAATGTTTGTTTTATGTTTATCTTGAGAAAAGCTTCCAACTGTTGTTGTGTATTGTTGCTAAAACACGAACTTTCGCTGGAGTCGTGAATGCGTATTGTTGGATACATACAAGTGTATTGTTGGTTGGTTGGTTGGTTGCACAGGCCATGTAACAACGGAAAAACATAGAAACCCTAGGTAGAATGGGTCTCAAAGTGCATTTATCCCAATTTGAGGTGAATTACAAGTTTGTAGTTTAAGTTCCGAGTCAGCCTCGTTACAATCCTAAATGCGTTCTTATGTTTGTGAAAGTTGATTCATGGATGAGAAGAGATTTTTCAAATCTCTGAACTATGGCGCTAGGAAAAATCCTTATGCCGTCTATTCATTGTTTCGTACAGTTTTTTTTTTTGGAGCAGAGGTGTGATTTAGAAACCCTTTTTGGTTTTAACGATTTTTAGCCATTCAGAAGAGTCATTCTTTCTTTTAAATGGCTCTGTGGTTTTAATGGTTGAGACTGAAAACTGGTTAGTGCTGATCTGTGGGATGTGAAAACTGGAAAAAAGTAGTATAATGTGTATATTTCTTTTGGAGATCACTACTGATGCATAATGCATTTACGGATCTTATCTTTGCTATTCATGTGAAGCGCGTTTTAGAAGATCATGAAAACGGTAAGTTATATATTATCCTTGGGGAATTCGGCCAAAAAAATCACGAACTTTGCACGAATTGCCAAATAAAACCTGAATTCGAAGCTGGCCAAAAAAATATTGTACTTTCTTTGATTTTTTAATTTTATTTGCGAACTTATCATTGACTTGCCATTTTAACACACCGTGATCTTACAGTGTAGACGCCGTTATTTTGACGTTAAAAATCGACTTTAAGTGAAACGACGTCGTTTTGTGTGTTTTTAAAACGAAAAATGTCTAAATCAGGACTCGAACTCGAGATCTCAAAGCTAAACAACATGGTCTTTTGCCACCAAGCTAACGACACTTCTGATGAATCTCTAACATATTTTGTTTTATGGAGTATCCAAAAAATCTTTAAAAACCTTAAAATTTTACAAAATTCAAAAAATCAATAAAAACTCTAAAAATATTAAAATAAAAAATAAAAAATTAAATTACAATTTTTTTTTTACTTTTCGCTAAAATTAATTAAAAATTCATAAAAATCTAAAAAATCCAAAAATACGAAAACACTAATGATTAAAAAATAACAAAAACTAATGATTAAAATAATTCAAAAAATATTTTTTTTTATAAAAATTAATGTATCTAAGATCATTTGTGTATTTGATCTTACATACATTAATCATACGGAAATATAGTGTGATAAATATAATTTTGTATATTATCTTGCATGCATTCATTTATATAAGAGAAAATTATTTTAATCATTAATTTTAATTTTTTAGATTTTTTTTTTTTAATTTGTTGGACTTTTTTGGTTTTTTATAAATTAATATATTTGAGATAAAACACAAAAATGATATTTAGCACACTATATATTTTAGTAAAATTTTTGTTTTCTAAAAAAAATAAAAAAATGTTTTTAAGATATGATAACAAAGGAACGTACACCAAAAACTACAATTTTTTAAATTTAATTATTATCTAGTAATGTATAGAAATCTTGATTTTTGTTGTATGTTCATTCAATATCATATTTTAGCAAAACAATTTGTGATAATATCATTTGTTTATTTTATCTTAATTATCATTTCTATTTTATCTTAAATACATTATTCATACTAAAATATATAGTGTGATAAATATCATTTTTTATTTTAACTTACATACATTAATTGATATAAAAATAGGTTTCAAGTTTTTTAATCATTAAATTTAATTCGTTGCATATCTTTAAATTATTTTAGATTTTTGCAAATTTTTAATGTTTTGATTTTTTTAAACAAAAAAAATTATTTGCTATTTAAATATTAATTTTAACTTTTCAGAATTTTCTTGAATTTTTAAGATTTTTTTGGAAGTTTTAAAAAAGAATTTAGATTTTTCGAGATTTTTTTGATACTCAATAAAACAATACATGTTAGTGATTTTATTAAAAGTGTCAGTAGCACAGTGGCAAGAAACCTCGAAATTTGGCCAAGAGTTCTCGGGTTCGACTCACACAATCGACATGTTTTTATAATAAAAATAGACAAAACGACGTCGTTTTATCCCATCTCAAAATGACGTCGGTTTACTTAACGGATCTTAACAAACGGTGTTCAATCATTCTGTCAAATTTACTAACGGCGTGTTTAATTGGCGAGTCAGCGACAACTTACTGATTAAAGTTTAAAAGTCAAATATTGTTCAGTATTTTTTTGGCCAGTCAATATGTTCGTGTTTGTTTTGGCAATTCATGTAAAGTTGGAGCTTTTTTTGGCCGAATTCTCATTATCCTTGATTTTGTACTAAAAGTCCGTGTCTTGTACGTGTATAGGAAATTGCTTAATGCAATGTTGTAAAGATAGGTGATTGATTATGTAGAAACCAAACAACAGTGAACAGACAATACATTAGAACCTTTATAAATTAATACTCGATAAATTAATAATCTCTATAAATTAATAAATTTCCCCGGTTCTACCTTGAGCCGGTGTAAAATATGATACAAATCGATAAAATAATAAGATAATAATATTTTTTAAACTACCATGTAAATATATGGTCCCACTAAAATCATAAATTAATAATCTAGCTATATATAATTTTATATAAATACAATATAACATTATATTGTTGGTTTTATATTTACTATAAAAATACTTTTATTTTTAAAACATTTCAATATATTTTGATAATATTTAGTTAGGGGTTTTATATTTACTATAAAATACTTTATTTTTTAAACATTTCAATATATTTTGATAATATTTAGTTAAATCATATCGAAAACCATGTAAAAATTCTATGAAACATAAAAATATACACCAAATAAGATAATAAAACAATATAAAAATCAAATTTCTAAAATTTAATAATGTCCATATGCTAAAATCAAATATTTTTTTCTATTTTATAAATAAAAATGGAAAAAATAATAATAAATCTAAATAAGGAAACTTTCGTAAATTAATATCTCTATAAATTAATAAAATTTCAAAGTTCTATCATTATTAATTTATAGAGGTTTTACTGTACTTCTTATAATCAAACACCATGTGGGTGCTACCTACTTCTTATAATCAAACACCATGTGGGTTTTACTGTACTTCTTATAATCAAACACCATGTGGCTTTGGACTACCATTTCATTAGAATTCAACAACAAGATTGGAGTGGTAAATTCTCCCTCTCCCCCCCCCCTCTGCCCCTTCATCTTAAGTGGGCATATTAGAGATCAAACATACTAATGACTGATTTGGGAATCACTACAATTTAGGAATGTAGGATATCTATCTCATTAACTCTCTTTGTAATATTCTAGTCTAGAGTTATATATATTCTCGTGATGTACATGCTTTAGAGATATATGAAAGCACATTTTTTATATTACATAACATAGAATACTAAAATTTAAATCACATATTTAAACAATTTTCGATAATATAAAATTTATACATTTATAAAATTAAAAATAGTCGCACGGATATATGGGTCAAACTCTAGTTTAGAAATTAAGAAATAAGCGTAATGTTTTATTGTTGATAAAAGAGGAATGTTTTACTGAATATGTAAATTAGCTTTTTGAAAGAGGTTTTTAGAGATAGGAGTTTTATTTTCAAAGGTTATAGTCATTAGCTTCATATGAGAATTTTTAGGCATGTACATATTATTGGGATTCTATGTTTTGAACCAGATCCAATCCGGCAAAGATATCCAAAAGATACATAACTTATTATACTTAAAGAACCAGATCTGAACCACCCAAAAAATTACGAATACACGAAAATATCTGAAATTTAAGTATATATGTAGAAATATTAGTTATATTAATAATTATAATAATTCAAATATTAAAAACTATAGTTGTAAATTTGAATATATTAGTTACTTTTGAATAATTCAGATATTTTATGTTATTTTAGTTACTTTTAGATGTTTCTGGACATATTTGGATATAAAAACCAAATTTGAGTCATGTATTTTGGATAAAATTGGTTAATTTCTATACATTTGGATTTTAACAAGTGGATCCGAACTGAATCCAACCTTTTCGATTCATTTGGATATAATCGAATTATTTGAACCCAAAAATTACTGAACCAAAACCGATCCAAAATTTTAAACTATCAAATCAGTAACAATTTTCCTAGATTCAAAATATCCAATATCCAAATATATGATCCAAACCAGATCCAATACAATGTCAAGCCCTAAGAAGTTCCTTTCTTTTAACAAAGTGTTGTATGTGGTTAGAGAAGAGGTCACTAATTTGCATTGGGAGCCTTATATATTTCAAGTAAACCTTTCTAAAATTTGTTATTTACAGTGCTTTCTTGCTACAATAAGAAGAGATAGTAGGCCTGTAGATAAATACACGTATGATGTGTAGATATTATGCAAAAGATATCTATCCGGGCGAACAAATAAAACTCATATTTTAAATCATGTACATCAAGGGATGATGAGGGGTTCATGGGCTCGATATCAGAGGCCCGAGAAGAAAAAAATACGAAAAATGGGTTTAATTTCATGAACTGGTTCACGCGAGTGAACCTCGGAGACACGGGTTCAAGCCATGCGTCGTTCTCTCATTGGGCTCGCGAAGGACGCGTATTACACAAAGAAAAGAGGGATCTCGAGATTATTTTTCATTTTCGCCTCTTTCTCCAAAAACTAGGGTTTCGACATCTCCGAGGCGATTCCAACTCCGAAGCCGAAGACCGGAGATTCTACCCATCTAATCGACAATGGACTATCTCCTCCACGAGCTCAGGTGAGATTCTAGTATATTCACGGTTTAATTTACGCTTTTTGGGCTTCAAACCGATTTCAGGGAATCTCAATCGATTTGGGGCTTTCAATCTAGGGTTCAAAAATCTTCTTGGGGGTTTCGTTTAAAGGTTTTAAAGCGTCTTGTGGGTTCGATTTTGGATTCATTTGTCGGGAATTTGAAATCGAGTCTAGGTTTCGATTTAGGGTTCCATCTCGATTTGGGGCTTTCGATCTAGGGTTCGAAAATCGAGTTGGGGGTTTCGTTTAAAGGTTTTAAAACTTCTTGCGGTTTCAATTTTGGATTCGATTTAGGGTTCCAACTCGATTTGGGGGTTTCGTTCATGGGTTGTAAATTCGACTTCAGGCTTTCGTTTAATGGTTTTAATTCGTCTTCAGGGTTCGATTTTGGATTCAAAACAGCTAATAGTTT